CAATGATTCTGAGTTATAAAGAAAAAATTAATTTATACTCAGCATTTTCTTAAGAAGGTGCTGATATGGGTAATATATTTAATAGAAAGGCAGCAAATGGTTAAACTTTTTTAAAAAGTGTCAATTATAAAAGTAAAGTTCAATCATCTTGTGGAGGGATTCACTTCCCTGAAGGTGATAAAAACAGATGAAGTGTGGTTCTATTACACTTGGGAAGTGTCTACTAGAAAAATTATTAGGGGTCTACTAAACCAATATAGAAAAATAAAACAACTTCTTCTCTCAGAACACTGATACAACAATTCTGGAATTTATAAATTTAACATTCATTTATCTTCAAAACTCATTTTGTTAATATCAAACTAATATACTGAATATTTATATTAACATATTATTAATCCTTATTATTAGATTTTTAAAATTATTTAATGACTGATTATGCTAGAATTAATTCTGTATATCTAAATCAGAAGAGCAATTGGTGATAATCTGCTTATGTTCTTAAGGTATTTTATGATTATATGACCTTTCAGGGATACTTACGCTTAACCCAGAATAAATGTTCCTTTCATTCTTCTGTACTAAATGAAATATTAAACTAATTTGAGATGACAAAGACTATAATTATCATGGCACATTCTGCTTAAGACATCTAACCAACCTAGCCTAGTCAAGTTCTTCAAATTATAAAGACTGGGAAATCCCATTTTCTGAAAGGACCTATAACTCCAAAGTTTCCAAATTTAGTTTCATTGGATTAAAAAATCAATGTAAAAGAGCTAAGAATCTACTATTCACAGCTGCACATGTCTTTTCAAAATGTGTACAACATTTAAAGGCCTTTAATCTAAGTTAATGCTGAGACCAAGTTAACAGGTAGAAGAGCGTAACTGTAGCTAAACTGAGGACACATTTTTCTTCTTAATAGGATTCAAAATATTCACACAATTTCAGGAGAACTAATTGCTCTAATGTAAATATTTGCTTCTCGGGGTCTTCAGGATATATGATAAGTCTTTAGCAGATTCTGAATATATGTGGACTCACAGAGAGGGATATAAACAATTACTAGGTAGTAGACATTCTATTATTCTTTCTAGAATGTTCACATTCTATAATAAGTACTAAGT